GCAGGACCAAGTTCGTATTGTAGTTTAGTCATTGCATTCTAAGTCATAAAATCTATGTACAATTGAATATAAGCGAAATTTTGTACAATTTCTTTTTTAATATGCTAAAAAAATAATATTAACAATTAAATTTTTAAAAAATTAAGAAAAAATATTTTAAAAAATACAATTAATTATTTTTAAATATATTCTTATTAGTCATTTAATGTTAAACAACAACTACTAACTATTATATAACCAAACAATTATATTTATCGAATCCGTTATTTACCATTCACTACCCACTTTTCGTTATCCACCATCCGGTATCCACTAACCGTCAGTCGCTACCTGCTACCCGCTATCCGCTATCGGCTACTACTATCCGCTACCGGCTACCACTATCCGCTACCTTCGTTATCCGTTGAATTTTAATCACTGTACCAAATAGGTCCTAATAAGTCACACCAAAATTCCCTTTCTAACTTACGTGAGCCTCTTGGTAAATAAAGATGTTAATCTTAGTAAGTCACGCCGAGAGTCCATTTCTAACTTACGCGGGACTCTTGTTTGGAGAGGGTTGTTACCACTTAATTGCCATTGCATTTTCTGTGCATTTCGATCACAACCAAGTCATCGTCAAAATTTCTTTGCCTTTTCTTTGACTTTCTTTTATGCAATTGTGTTATTGTGAATGTGAAAAGTATTTTTCTAGCATTTGTTATCGTAGCAGAGAAAGGGTCTATTTATTCTCGCTGTTAGGAATATAGGATAAAGATAATTAAAGAAAATGATTTAAAGATAATTTTTTTGTATCTTTTTTTATACAATTTTAAGTATTATTTAAATAATTGATTTTTTTAATTCATTTAAAACTCTGTTATTAATTACATTTACGTACTTATTTAATGATATGTGAAAATTGTATAAAAAAATAATATAAAAAGATTGTCTCCATATAATTGCTCGATAATTAAATAAATAATATTAATTTAAAATCAATGGCTCACATTTTCAAGCACATTAACCACATGTTTCAAGAGTAACAAAAAGCTATAAACTAC